CTTACTTCACTCAAACTGGAGCAGCTTACGACGAAAATACTGAAGCAAAATTCCAACAGACGTAAACGCGTTGAGTTGTGGGCCAAAAACATGAAAAATTTCGGGAATTTCGGACGCCATTTCCCCCGCGCGACATCTGCAAAAATCCTCGCAGCATGTACGCGCTTGTGCTGCAGGCGATGGCGCAATTTGTTCTAAAAACAGAATTATTGTCCCATATCATGGGGACAACCCCAGTACTAGAAATGGCCCGCGCTTACGGTTTCCGTCCCCGATTATGGCTCCTGAACGTTCGAATTAATATCGACGTTGTAATAATAAACTCACGTGGAAATTATTGAGAAACACTAGTACTGAGTATGACTGATTCGAGTTACTCAGTGTCGGAAACTGGACAAACACCAGGACTCTTGGTTGATCTTGAATTGTGAAATGTTTCTGTCCCGAAATACCTAGAGTTCTGTATCCTTGGCTACGAAAGATTGTAATAATTCTTTGTCTGAAAGGTTTTCTTGCAGCCAATCAGCATTCGTTTTATTGAGGTGTAGCGCAGAGAGATATTTGTACATTTGTTGTGAGTGTATTAGTAAGCTTTTTAGTCTGAACAAGAGAAGGATGCAGTATAAACAGATTAAAGTAGTGTAAACTAAACCAAAAGGTCGAAGTTGTTTATTCAAAACCATTGTCAGCGGAGCGTTGCAACACTCTTTGCAAGAACTTTGTTTGCATGAGAACTTGATTGCCTGATAGCGACGGTTGTGACTCGTTTTCCAAAACGTTCCATTGAAGTAGTTGAAATAACAACGAAACAACGAAACTAAGTAATACTATATGAAGAATAGCTTCTATGTAAAATGTAATTTAGAAGTATATCGTTCTATTTAGACCCTGTACGAGGTAATAAATGCACATTTTCTCACCGGTCTTTTACTAGTCCCCAAAACAAACGTATGTTCTTGATGTTTTTGTAAATTGCATATGCTCCCTTGATAAACGTAAATCATATGTCAATCTTTATTAGTCACTCATTTTATTATTTTAAGAACCCCTTTAGTATCTTTAATACAACAATAGGTTTATGGGTTAAAGGTAGCCTTGTTAACAGGGTCCGCTATATTTCCGTCCGTTTTCTTATTCAGCTTTATTGCTGCTACTCAGGTCAAGAGACAAAAGCAAAAGATTGAAAAGAAGATCTATGAGCCGTTACTTTCATTTATTTACTCTAACGGTCTTTTACTTTATTGCCTAATCTATCCAATTTACATTGAATGTATAGCATTCTAGGACGTCTGAAAGTTGCTCATAAAATCTCAACACGCAAGAGAAGATGAATCCTGTAAGAGAGTTAATTTGCCTTATAGGCCTTCTTCACAAGGTAATTCCTCTCAAGATATTTTTAGGTGACTCGCAGTATCGGAAATCCCAGGTGAATCTTGAAATAGCAGGCCCTGTGACGCAAATTTAGCTCACGAAAACAGCCCAGGCGGCCTTACTTGTATTTTCAGTCTCCTCGAAAACATCCACGTGACGCGCGTGGAAACATTAACCACGGGAGACCTGGATACCATGTCTAATAATAATTTGAGAGGGCTTACCTTGGGAATATAAGGCTTATATGGAGGATTAACTCCTTTACCTTTCGTCTTCTTTTACAGCACATTATTAACATATACTGAACGTATGTAGTGACATGCCGCGTTCGATCAACCCCCTCTTGTAAACAGGACTTTGCCAAGTACAGGGCGACAACACAGAATCAGACATGGTATGAAGCAGGAGCCCATCACTAGGATCGTGCAACTCCCATACTAAGCCTCTGTCACGGCATTTTTTTTTTTTTGCAATTTTAATATATATATATATTTTTTATTTATCCATTTATTTGTTCACATACAGAATAACATACAAAAAAGCTACATAATTACTTACATTAAAATACCTAAAACAGGTTTAACAACAAACGATAAAACTAGTGGTAACAATAAATAAAAATAAATAAATAAATAAATAAAAAGGCGACTCCTCTGCCCGGTTTTTAGTTTTTTAAATATTATTATCCAATAACTACGTACTTGATATAGTAATTTTATTAACAACAATTACTAATAATTAATAATTAATCATAGATACAATTACGGCATTGTCACGGCATTTTTACAGAGCGGTCTATTTTCAGGCTTCTTTTCCCGCGAAGTAGGTCAGTTCCGGTCTACATGAACGCGCATTGGCAAGGAAGAAAATGGCTCAGGAGCCCATCTCTTCTTTCCGGTGAAATTATGATGTCAGTTAAAACTTAAGTCCGTGTTTGTGATTGGTCACTGAGGTTCCTGCAAAATTTGTTGTGGACACTCGGTCGCGCCTCGTGAGTCCACAACACTTTGACCACTGTGATGACGCGTATCGTTGCCGCTAAGAGCACAGACCACGTTAAACCGCATTCGATTTGTCAAATAACCAAGTGATACCAGGCATTCTGAAACGCTCAACTGATACCTAGTCTTAGTCCGAACGGAAATGACGTCCAGAGTAGGCGGAGGAAATTTTGCTTAGCATTTTTTAAACAAACGTAGTCTTGAAAGTAGAGGCAATCTGAATTCCACTGACTCGCGCTTCGCTCTACTGTCTAAAACAACGACTATTTACAGTCGAACATTAATTAAGCCAAAGTCATCCATGTATAAGAATATAACGCTATACTGAAAAATTCCAGTTAACAATTCTAGTCTTATCTTAGAGTAACAAATCATTTGACAAGAAAGAACTGTTTGCCTCTTCTTTGTTTGTGACTTCACTATTGAATGTACTGTCTCTCTCACTACGGAAATCAACAACGACACCATCTGTGATGTCATCTGAGCCTTCTATCACACGACTAGGCTGCACTTCAGAGGTGCCTTGAGCTTGCCCATGCGCGGTTGTTTGGTCCCCAGACCGTACGTTGTTGATGCCGTTTTCGTGGAACTCTTGTTCCTTGGGGAGTTGTGGATTTGTCAGAGTCCGTGAACGACTTGTACCTTAGGAATGGATTTCAGAAAACGTTAATGTCATCAGCATCACATTAAACATAAAATAGAGAGCAAGCTTTGCAGGTGGCTGAAATGATCGTCATTCCTGAACAAAATTTGGTACCCAAGCGAAAGACCGGCTCTTCATAGCAATGTGCTTTTTTGTTACATGTAAGAAGTGCCAGCTGCAAGTAGAAAGGAAAGACTGAAAAATAAATGAAACCTTTTAGGGGCACAAAAAGGAGCAGTTTCTTGAAGCAGTTTCTATAACCAGCAACAGATTGCTGGTTAAATTTTGGTTCTGTGCGTAAAAACGAACGAGGGCCGATCTTTCCCAGTACGGTTCGTGAGTAATTCATTATCTCGCGCTCGCCGGCTTTCGAAAACCAAAAAAATACACGGCTCTTAATCGCTTCCATGAAAACGGTCCGTATGGTAAAATCCAGACCAAGAAAAAACCAATCAGATCGCTCAGATTTATCTCAAGACGGCTTTGCCATGTAGTAAAGCTGATTACGTGACATTAACTGTTGACTTGAAACCAATGAATACCATATACACGTACGTTGAAGAGGCTTCGTCTCCGTTTGGATAACGGGTTCCCACTACACAATATTATGTGCGGTAAGATTTTTAAAAGCTAAGTATCAAAACGGAGGAAGGATTTTTGCAAACACTAGCTCGCAGGCACAGCAAAAATCAAGAACCCAACTCACGCCAATGTTGGGTGTCTGGAGAGTGACATGTTAATTGCAGTTTCCGCATTAATTAAAAAAAAAAGGAGAAAAAGGCAAGGGTTTTAATCCCTTTTGACCTTAGCTTTGACAATGAATAATAACTTCTCTGAGCAGGCAGTTACAAGACACATCCATACTTAGTTGAATAAAGTCAGCTCACTTTTGGTTGAAAATGAAATGCTCCAAGATCTTGGTTTCTCCTTGCAAACCCCACACGCTGCTCCAAACACACGCTTGTAGGCCCACCAATAGCGCATGCTCATTTTGCCGTAGATGATAGGGTTTGCCAGGGCGTAGATAAGAGACACCATTCCTGTGAGAAGCACGACAAGCTTGCTAGACCTCCGGTCTGTTGCCAAGGTTACGATGTTGCTGATCTAAAAAGAGAGGCTGTTAGAACAGAGCATCATGTTTATGGTGAGGAAGGTTGTAGCGGTTTTAAGGAGCATTTTTTTCCAACTTTCAGTGGCGCAAATTGTCCTTGGTTTGCTCCATACATTTTATCTTTGTTGCCGCTCTGTTCTTTTTTCCATGCAGGTGTTTTGGTTATTACCAGGAACCCATGCCCCGGAGCCTCCATACGTACTTTAGCCTAGAAATAACCCTTTCCCATATTATTCTACTTTTAGAACTGTAATTAGCACAGGGGTCTCTTAGTTTCCCGCGGAATATCTTGTTTCTGCAAATGACAAAAGCAAAATAGCGGCCAAAGGGAATCCCAGTCTTTGTTGGAACAAAGAATGGCCTTAGATCGGGTGTCATCGAGTGTTAACAAGGGGTCGTGTGAAAACTCCCCCTAAGCTGTTTCTAAAAATAGAAAGGAACGGTAAAGGGTTAACGCAGTCCCTCGGCCAATCAAGAATGTAGTAATGGTCCATCTGTACCCACAAAGGCAAAAATCCACTGATGACTTGATTAAATTCGATCAAGTCCTTTAGTATTGCATTAAGGTCATTCCCCAGTATTGCATTGTACATCCTTACTGCACATAATTTATGGCGTCATTAGCGCGCGTTCGTGCACGCGCACATTGAAAACATGGCGGATTTGCCTTAATATTGGTGTTCTGTCAGTTGAAAAATAGCTATAGCTATATACCTAACGAGCTCGGCACCCCAAATTTTTTTCCAGTCATTTTAATCAACTAATCATTAGCTTTGAGTGAGAAAAGACTGATCTGATTTCTATGTTTGAAAATTGAATAAATAAGAAGAAAAGGAGCTACACTGTAGTCTTTTCTATTTTGAAGTTTGATAGCCGTGGCAAGCAATTTGTTTCCAATATTTTAACAAAGATTCAGCTGTCTGTCAAAATCAAACTTGAAAAGTTTATTTGTGTCTGACAAGAGTATTGACTGTAGTTTGAGGCGTGTTTCATGAGTCTGGGCTCACAAAGAGTTTACAATGACTTCGAATGCGTTCTTGTAAAAAGCATTAAATAACGCTAAAATGGGACATTTTCAATGCCTCACTGCTCCTTAACGACCACGGCCAACCCCCTTTTTTATTTTATAATTTAAGTTCTCATATGATAAATATTCATTGGCCAAAGTTTGAACAAAAATCTATGTGCAGTTTTATTTCAGGGGAATTAGCTTAACTCAGTGTAACTTTTTAAAATTTCTTGTAGAGGGCCTATTCTTTAAGCTCAGTTTTAAATGTTCAAAATTGTTGGGATGGGAGTTTCTAAGTTAATCTAAGATAATCTATTTGTTTCAACACGAATCTAGTGGTCATTCAAAACTTTATCTAAATCCTCTTCACTGGCACTTTACCAGGAGGCCGCCAGTTTGTTAACGAGCGCACACTGCACAGAGAACAGCATTCGTGATAGAATGCTTTTAGATTTATACTAAAACTCAATAGAAACACGGAAATTTTTTTTTGTATTTCATAGTTACGAAGAGTATAAAATTGCCATTTATAACTGTTTCAGTAAAAATGCTCGGTGTATTCAAGTATACACGTTGGTTATACTGAAACATACACTGATCAATAAAATCCTCGATCTGAAGCTAAGAGCATTTCACCATTTGCCATAGAAACAATGGCAACTTGTTAACGTTGGTTTCAATTTCAAATTCGTTGCTAAAACCTCTTGTACTAACAGTTTATTCACGGAAGAGAGATTGTCTTGAACCGGAGCTATTTCAAACATTGCCCAATCTTTTTGTAACAACACAAAATTTCCACTTAAGTGCAGTCGTATCGTTTGTGCGGCTTTATAACTACATCTGGTGGCGTGACAAGGGAACAGTGATTGCAACAAGTTTACTACAGACTGGAATAAAAAGTGATCAAGCTACTGCAGTTTTCAGTAAACTTGTTGTAAATCCCCTTTCCACTTGTGAAGCGATAAGGGCTTTATTCGAGCGCTGTTAAATTACCCAGGCCCTTCGGTTTCCTTGGTACACTTCTTTCCAAGCAACTTGAAGGCCCTGGAAACTAACTTCTCTTTCCTTTCGATGTTTTCAACGTTGAAACGCTTCGTCACAAGAGGAGATAAATGGTTCGCTTGCCTTATCACGCGTGGAAAATTAGCCTTACTAATTATTGGTTGAGTCCTAGCAATTCTCTTTACTCGCACCGATAAACTCACCAACATGGGCAGCCAGCTGATATAGTAGAGAAAAACAACAACAGCCATCATACGCGACAGTCTTTGAATCTCCCTGACACCTGAGGGGTTGCTTTTCCGTCTTTCCTTTGGCTTCTCGCACCCGGGCACCTTGGGACTCGACCCGCGAGTCGCGTCTGTTCCAGCGCTCTTGTTTTTAATGTCCATTCTTGTCTGCCGTTGAATAAACTTTGTACTTGAAGATTTAATTGCAAAGTAACAAACTAACACTGATGTTAGTAAGAGAAACGACACGGTTAGAATAAGTACTGAGTACGTGTTACCCAAGTCTGTCAAATGATAAAGACATTTGCCATCTTTATAACCCGATTTTCCGACTCCCATAAACGGCAAGCTTGCGAACAAAATAGCGCCGACCCAAGTGAATACAACAAGTTTCTTTACTCTTGAAGTTGTGATGGTTGTATGATATTTAAACGGCTTTAAGATCATAAACGCTCGATCGATTGCCATAAGTGTCACAGTTCCCGCGGAAGCAAAGCGAAGTGAATGCACTACCACAATATACAAGCCGCAGTTGAACGCTGTCCATTTCTCCAGAAGGAAATAATTCATGAAAATGACAATTTGAAGAGCGAAAGCTCCCCCGACGAAGTCAGCCGTTGACAGTGAAAGAAGAAGAACATCTGTGATCAACCAATGTTTTTGGAACTTCAATGAAAGGAG